CCCCTCAGCCCCCGCCGGCGCTGGCCCTGCCCCTTGCCGCGCCGCCACCTCCCGCTCGGCCTGTCCGGGCACGGAGCCCTGATGGGAGGCGGCTATCCCTGTTTGTTGGGGTTTTACGTTGTTATTTTATTTTTAGGGAGGCTTGGACCCTCAGAAAGCAGCGTTTCTCCTGCGCAAGCAGTGGACCTTATACAGCGTGAGCCCTCTGTACGGTTTCTCCAACGCTCACCTGAGGGGTTACGCGAGGCTGCTCAGCGCTTCCATTGCTGCCGAGAAGCAGAGAGGGCTGGCGGTGGAAATAGGGGTTGAGCTGGGCGTCAAAGTGGCTCTCTCCAGAATTCTAGAGCTGAAAAGCAGTGAGTGTGACCAGCCTGCGATTCTCGTGCAGGTAAGGAGTCCTACCGATACTGAGAACCGCAGTTGTTGTGGATGCTCCATCCCTGGAAGTGTCCAAGGCCAGGCTGGATGAGGCTTGGAGCAACCTGGTCTAGTGGAAGGTGTCCCTGCCCATGGCAGGGGGGTTGGAACTAGATGGGCTTTAAGGTCCCTTCCAACCCAAACCATTCTGTGATTCTAATTGAGGCTTGCATTTTACAAAGTGCTTTTGCTGTCATAAAATAACTCTGTCTCTTAAAACAAAATACTAAACTCCAGCAGCATGGAATACCTCCTGGAGTATCAAAGATGTAATGAAAGGGGTCCTGTCTATTTTTAACTGGAACAGCACATCCCATAATGAATGGGTATGTTTAATTGCAATTTTGAGTTGAACACAAATTGTAAGTTGAACTCAGTTGTAAGGCTGATCAGCAATCTTTTCATTCAGAAGTCAGTTTACTGCAAGAACTTTGTCAGGTTATTTAACTTCCAGAATAAAGTTGATATAACTTTACCTCTTGGCCATAGCTCACGGCTAATTAATGCTTCTGAAATGCTTTGCCTCGAGTGAAAGGTACCACCGAAGTGCCAGGTTCGGTATGTCAGTGGTTATAGGATGTGCCATGGATTGGCTTTTCTTAAGCTTTCTTTCCAGGGAGGGTGGGGAGGCACTGGGACAGGTTGCCCAGAGAAGCTGTGGATGCCCCATCCCTGGAAGTGTCCAAGGCCAGGCTGGATGAGGCTCGGAGCAACCTGGTCTAGTGGAAGATGTCCCTGCCCGTGGCAGGGGGGTTGGAACTGGATGGGCTTTAAGGTCCCTTCCAACCCAAACCATTCTATGGTTCTACAAGCAGCATAAACTTAAACTGCAGTGCTGTTCCTAATGAAGTAAAAAGGGCTTTTCCTGCTGTTTTGAACAGAATTGCACACATATTTTAGGGATATGATGGGTAAACTGAGTAACTGTGTGAGAAATAAATGTTGCATGCAGGGTCCTGAGAAAAACCTCCTGGAATTATAAAACAAACCCCACCTTTTGTCTAGATTCAATCAAACTTGCTCTGTAGCATTCAAATTTATTTTCATTCTTTTCCCCGTCCCAGATTTCTTCGAGATCACGAGCTTCCCAGAAGAACTCAGAAGAGAAGCTGATATGGTCGGGCTGTTTCTGCTCGGTGTCTGGAGATGAACTTTCTGAGAACCTCCCAGAGGGCTTCACTTGTTTACCTCTGTTTCTTGTTAACGGGACAGAGAGTTACACGTCCATGGTCGGAAGTTGGTTTCAGAAGACTTTTGACTGCTGCTTCCGCCGTTTAGCCATCAGCCCTCTCAATCTCAGCTGGATGGCGGCTATGTGGACTGGATGCAATGTGGATAAAACTCTGTCTGCCATGGAACTCGTTTTCTCTGTCCCCTGTCTGCCCCAGCCTCTGGATATCTCCTACGCCATTCATCCAGAGGATGCAAAAGCTCTGTGGGAGACAGTTCAGAACACTCCAGGAGAGATCACTCAGGAAGATGTGGATGTCTTTATGGACTGCCTTTACTCTCACTTCCACAGACACTTTAAGATCCACTTGTCAGCTGCAAAACTGATGAAAGTTTCTACAGCAATCGCCTCGGCCCACTCTGACGGGACTATAAAGGTGAGGCTTTAAGTAGCATGTTGTCCTAACTAAGAGATGGGTGATCTTCAGAGTCAAAACATCTTGCTTAAAACTACTGTCCTGGAACGTGAGTTCACCAAATGAAAGAAAACAAGCTTTGCTGGGAAGCATCTCAACAACTTCAGCCGGGCAACTGCAAACCACTAAACGTTAGTGTTACACTGTCTGGTTTTACCTGTAGTAGTTTAAAAAACCATAAACTTTTCATGTTGCAGGTCAGTAAACACAAGAGATACTGGCTGGGCCTTCTGAAGAGGGTTCTCCTATGCAATGTGTCCCTGTAAACTCAGTTATGGCCCTTCCATAATGGGGAATAATGAGTTCAAGTCAGACTTATGTCAGTATGGCAAAACATGGCTAGTCAAGGAAGCTGGCAGTCTCCTTCCTGTCCTTCCTACAGAGGGAGGTAGCCAGAGGAGCAGAAGTACTGGGATTCTCGCCTTCCAAAAAGCTGGAGTAGGAGCAGGGTGTTTCTTAGGTACCTTGTTTCACACGTGACAGTAGCAGAGGGCTCTGAAAGGAGTGTCCTGTGTGCGTCCTCTCCGTAACCAGGGTCAGAGTAGTAACAAAGGCACCTTGCAGACGACAACAGAGAAGCTGACCAATCACACAGAACACTGGGTTGTGGGTTTCCAACCGTTTTTGGTGTGGAAAACTGTCAATTACAATTATTTTGACATGCTTTTTTTCCTTTCTTACAGTTTTTACACAGCCAGTACCTAACTGGCGTGCTGATGCTACTGACCGAACTAGCAATCGCTCAGATACAG